TCCAATTCTACCTCAAGGAAGTGGAAAGAAACATATTGCTGCATCCTGTTAACTTCTGAGATTCAGCATTCATCTGGCATATTTTTAAAACTCACTTTGAAAAAAGGAAATATAAATAGGTAGATCTGAAGGCCATTGAGGCCGTGTTACTTTCCCATCAGACACCTGTCAAAAGACACATAAAGAAAACAGCTATGAGAAACAAGGTTAGCATATTTGGGGCAGGTGAATCTTGAGCTGTTCAAAAGTGCATAAAATCTTTTTAAAAAATTGTAAGTGGGCCATGCATCTTTCAACAAACAGGGAATGAGGAGTGACTGTGCTTAATAGCTAGGAATGTTGGATGCCACTTGGAAAAGAAGAATATGATGGAAAAAGGAGGATAATGTCTTGCTTGGAGGGAATGGATCAGGAATTCTTGTACTAGACGTGGAAATACATTGCCACATTTAGTGGCATTTCTTGCTTACAAGGGTAGTGATAGAAATAACACTTCTTTTTGTTCTTGTTGCTAATCTTAGGTATTATCTGAGGAGGTTTTATCCTGGGGACATTTGAAAGCCCAATACAGTACTTTATTCAGCTGTCACTTTGCATGTGTAGTCATGCCTTTTGCAAGGCATTTTGCAAAAGTGTAGTTCTGCAAAGTGTAACTCCCCAAGAAACTTTGCAAAATGCAAATGCCTCAAGAACTTTGCAAAAACCTTCCTTTTTTCCCGTAAGATAAAGAAAATCATAGAAAATATTCATCCTTGCATGCCTGACGTTTGTGAAGATTTTTATCCTAAGGGACATTCCTCCATTAGCAGCCCACCCTCCAGAGCTTTTATGGTCCATCCCAAGGTGAAATCAGGAGCAGAAAAGATAGAGGTGTTTGGCTGGAAAGTGGAAATCAGGAGTTCAAGATAAAGGAATCTTGGGAATCTTACAGATAAAATAGCAGGACAGCGCTAAATGCTTTTGTTTTTACCTAACAGGGGGTCTTGTTTGCTTCCTCTCTCTGGTATGCTAAAGTGCAAAGTTGAAGTTTTATCTTATTCACTGTCCCCCAAAGTACGTACATTCACATAGTCATAGTCCCTCACAGTACATTTGGTAAAATGTGTAAACTAATAAAACGTGCCCTATATTAACTGAAGCCA